TAACACTCTAATTATACAAAAAATAAAAAATAGGTGATAATAAAACATCAAAAAACACGAGCACCTTCAACTAATCATACAAGGCAGAGTGGCAGGTAGAAGGAGACCTGGCCGCAGACGCACGTCTTGGTTGAAAAACCTTAAACAAGACAATATTTGGTCAAAGCGGCATCCAAAATTAAAGTAGCCATAATGATCGCAAACCTTCGCAAAGAGATGGCACTATAAGAAGAAGAAATTAAAAGCTAATCTTAGGGTTAATGATTCATAATTAATATATAAGAAGCTAATTACGAGGTAGAAGATACTTTAGAAGATTTTTTAATGATTAGAAACACTGATCTCATCTGTGGAGTGAGCAGCAGTTAAAACCGTTTACGACAACATACCGGTTACATTGTCCAAAATCAAAGATCCCGGCTGAACTCTATTGTATTAGGTACTTAATAACAACGCCAACGGCTGTTACGACTATCGGTATGAGTAGGAGTATCAATATTTAGATTGTCAAGGAAACGCAAATCAAAACTACCACCAGTAAGGAATATAAAATTTAGCTTCAAGTAATTAGGAGTTACTATATATTGTCTATACGAACACAACACCGGTCTGTATATGGGCAAAGTGCCGCCATGACCCACAAAGATTCATAATTCTGAGAAGAGTTATGACATCCATGACTGCAATATTCATTAATTTTTTTTCATTGGAATTCCTGTTAGGCTCTTTAATTAAAAGACAGATGTTTTTAACAGTTTGTTTGTTTTATTTTGAATTTTAAAACTTAGGATACATACGTACGTACGTAACTTTATCATTAAAATTATGTGTCTATTGAATAACGTGGAATATTATTGAAGTAAAATATTTTTTTTATAATAATCTTAACAGATTAGTGCCGCATTATTACGTTGACGATATTATTTCCTTATTCGTTTTGGAGATGGGAAATTCCCCAATTCATAGATAATAGCCCCGCCCCGTACCCCTTATCCCCCCGTCATCGTCACCAATACAGGTAATTTTTTTAGTTTTTTTTTATATTCCTGCCCTTTAGCCTGCTGTTTGTACGAAACAAAAAAGAGTATTTTTTGTAATAAATCAGTCGTTTATCAACTGACCCATGGTAATTTCATGATGATAATGTTGTTACCAGCGATATAATAACAATAGTTTCGCAGGCATAGGATACTAACTGATACACCTTGATTTTAATAACCGAGGAGAAAACGCGCATTCTCCGCTTCAGGCTTCGGGGATATGTGGGACTCGACTCACACCAAGCATCTGGGAGGCGGGTAAGCTATTCCCACTAACACACGACTCCGATGTATCCCACCGTACCGTTAATGGAGACTCCCGGGACCGGAGACAATATTCAAAAGTATGTCTGCCCTAATATGATATGTATATCGACGTAGGAAAGCACATTCTTAATAGACATATTCAATTTTCACCAAGCCAAAAAACTTTATTAATTTCGGAAAAAAATTAATAGTGTCTGACCTATCCATATATTGCTACCATTTTTTGAAACATATATTTATTTAACTGCCAGTACCATTTCAATGTAAACTTTTTATCCAAAGTTACTATAAGTACGTGTTTGGCTAGTTACACAAACAGTTTTTAAATCACAAACCTTTAAAACGCTGTAACTAAGGAAGAAAAATGTACGAGCGGAAATATTATCAATTTACAGGCGGTAAATATGCTGTATGCAGGAAATTTATGTATTTGGGTACTTTTAATTGCAATTCAAGATGTAAGATTAGTTTATAATTATGATTAGATCTAGAAATGCAGTGGGTCATTTGATAATGTAATGTTTGGTTGAAATAAAATGTCGTAAATGGTAAAAAAAAAACCAAAACTGTAGGTTCCCTAAACTTGCTGTAATTAAACGAATGTAAAAATCACACGCCGCTGAAATGCTGTAAGTAGCGTTAAGTTTTTAAATGGGAAGAAGTAAGTATTTGTAAAGAAAAAAATGCAGATTTTCTTTTGCTGTAAGTGCGAAATGTCTGAAATGACTAGATTTTGGTCTACATACAGCATTTAATCTTGCTAAAAATAATATAAGTACGGGCGTTTTCAACGGCGTATGTAATTTTTTTCATCGTAGAGACACAGGACACAGGTCATTCGATGCGGCTTTTTTTTCTGATTCTAATGGCAGGAAAAAGTCACTTTAGGTATTTTGTCTACTTACAGCAAATATGCTTTCCTACGTCGATATGGGTATTTTTTTTTTAATTTACTACTCAAGTTAACATTAATATATACTACGTTTCATTGTGTCTTACAAATTATAGTAATATGTATATTTAAGGTAAACTTCAAAGCCATGAAGCGGGTATTTCTAAAATATTGTAAGTAATTTGTCTCAGTAAATCGTAATGACATGTTAAGTGCTCGTAATGCTTTTGACAACCCTATCATTAGGCTGCGCCCAAACGGAATGCTCTATGTTAGGTACAGTCGTATGCACAATTCATTTTTAAACTATTTATTTATTCCTCTCCAATATTTTTTATATGTATATGCTTACGCAATATGTTAAGCGTGGAATAACTATATTTAGATATTAAAAAATCATTAATACTTCCAACAACATATATCGTTATTGTGAAATACAGATTCGACTTAATCTGTATATTTTTATACTATAACATTTCCTAGAAGTATAGTATATGTTTAAATAAATTGTGAAACGTTAAGTCGTATTAAGTATATTTTAATTATTATGCGCGATTCCGGGCTCCAAGGCCGTTGTATTCTTAATAATTAAAACGATAAACAAAATATTACAGCTATATGTTTGTAATTATTTAAATTAGCATATGATTTTATACTGGTTTTTCTCAAGACGTAAACAATAGATTATTATGATTAATTATCATAATTTTGTAATTTCGCATTAAAGTGCGATAAACATGTTTTAATAGTAGATAGTACGGGTAAGTTTTGCAAAAAAAAAAACAAAAGCTTTGTTGCATAAGAAACAAAATAAGTAACTGCTGGACTACATCAAGGAGGCCCAAGCACGCTGTGGGTCGCTGCGCCGTTGTAAGAATTTGTAAAACATAGCGTTTTATGTAATACGCCATGTTCATACTAGGATAGGTCCAAAGTTCCCGCCGATATGTTTTTTGGAAGTGACGACAAAAATATCATAGAAATGTTTTAATAGTTGCTTCAAAACTATTAGACCACAAGCCCATGAACAAAAAATACCTGTGAAATGACCCAACGTGAATTACGCTTAGAAGGCTGTTACTATATCTGAAAATAGCTCTGAGCACTATGCCGTCATTTCTGAGCGGTACATGTGAGTACGTGTATGAATGGACTTTCTCAGTAATAAATGACCTATATTGCTTCTGCAACTGACGTCGAATTAAAAATTTGCACCGACTTCAGGCACCATCACTTTAGTACGGCACTAGGATTTTCGACATTTATTTTTAATCATCTATACACTTATAACAAAGCCGTACATTAATAATTAGTCGAAATTCCCCAATTGTACCTGAGAAAGTCCATTCACTCACGTATTCACATGTACCGCTTAGAAATGACGGCATAGTGCTCAGAGCTATTTTCAGATATACATAGTAACAGCCTTCTAAGCGTAATTCACGTTGGGTCATTTCACAGGTATTTTTTGTTCATGGGCTTGTGGTCTATATAGGTTAGATGACAGTATTAAAACAAAAACTCACTTTTTCTCATAACTATACCTTTACAATGAAAAATGTATCAGGTTTTTTACTCGACAATTTATGCAACAAACAAAAATTCCCAACAGTATTTTTATTTCAAAATCAGTTCTTAACGTTTGTCTCAAACATGAATTTCATGAATATTCTTTTCTTAACCGGGTTAAATTTTATTTATGGGTTAGATCGTAGTGTATTTAATATTATTGGCTCATTTGTGGTATCTGAAGGAAAAGCAACATCTGTTCTGTTACCAATATCGTGTTGGAAAAATTGTATGTTTTGTGTATTTCGAGATAGTTAAACTATAAAGGGAACTTTAATAGTCTTTTGGGGTTTGCCTTATTGGGCAGCAGCTGCTTTATTTCGACTTTTTTATAAAACAGGAGTCACAGCAGTGTGAAAAGCCATAGGTGGCCTATGTATTACACGGGGATAGAGAACGCTTTTCTTTTATAGTTATTCATAAAGCTTTCTTGGTTAAGATCTAAGCAAATTGCGTGTTGAACACACTACCATGGGTTAATTGTATATTATTAAAATAGACAAAAAGTACAACAAATAAGTATGACGACTCATTGGTCTAGTGGCTAGTACTCCCTGACTGCGAATCCATGTGTCCCGGGTTCGATCCCCGGCTGAGACAAACATTGATGTGATGAGCATTTGGTGTTGTGCTTGGGTCTTGGGTGTTTAAATATGTATTTAAATGTCTATCTATCTATAATATGTATGTATATCCGTTGCCTAGTACCCATAACACAAGCTTCACCAGCTTAGCATGGGACTAGGTCAATTGGTGTGAATTGTCTTTAAAAAAAATATATATATATATAAGTAATCTTTATAATTATTGAAATAAAACTAAACTAATCTTAAATTAATAATAAATTGGGGGATTTTTGGATCCTACCGAACCTATTTATGTGGTAATTTAAACCATATAAATAAATTGTTTTCCTATTACCTATATACCTATATATTTAGAGTTATCTCTGTCTTTATATATTATACAGATGGTACACCTTATGAGGTTGTTTTCCAAAGCAAGACAAAGAAGAAAAATCCAAAAATATAATTTCATTAACAATTTATAATCCACAACGTCAAATACAATAATCATCGTTCGTACAAATCTTTAGATAGGGAGTACCCTACCCTCAACCTTTTATAAAACAAAAAATGCAATTGTGTTACTTTATACCGTATATACAATTTTCTGATATAATATAAATAATTCATTTTAAATAAACTATTAATTTTTCAGCCGAAATCAAGATGCTTAGTAAAATTATGTTCGATGTTAACATCAACGTTGGCTATTCTTTACAACCAAATAGAAGCGAATATTTTGCGCACAACATTTTAATATTAGCTGATCTATCGTGTCAGGAAACAAATGTGTTTTTGATAAGGGTAATGCATACTTAATTAAAAGTAGTGTAACGACTTCTTCGTTAGTAATATTTAGAGTTATCTCTCAGTATTTATTGTTTAATAATTAATATAGTAAGTATTCTTTTCCTTTTTAGGTTTCGTTACTAAGAAAATGATCTATTGTAGATTGTTACCGTAGATATAAACGATTCCTAATTCACTACACTATATATAAATTTATATTGTAATACCTTTATATATATAATTCTTCTGTGAGTGTGTATGTCACTGAACTCCTCTTAAACGGCTGGACCGATTTGAATGATTTTTTTTGTATACGTTTGGGTGGCGACCTGGATGGTTTAGATTCACAAATCAGCAGATGGCGCTGCAGTCGGTACTTTCATACAGGACAACGTCTGTCAGGTTTAGTCTAGTTGTTTATAATATTTTTCTTACAAAGGCACCCACTTATATAATCTAGTTTATATATTTGAAGTCGAACTCATCTTCCTAATTAAAAAAAATTTAAAATAAACTACGGTATTCAATGTCTTATTTCAGTTAGGAAGAACAGAATATAACAGAATTGGTGATAGACTATAATAGTTACCCATCATCTTTTAATAATAGTCCTGTTAGAATCTGTTTTTTTATAGGCCAGCGCTCAGGGATACTTCAAATCACCATACAGATGGCTTCTTTTAAACACAGAAGGAAACAACTTTGATGTATTGGATCAGCTGGATATGCCACTCAACAGTGATGTAGTAATTGCTAATATTGGCTTTGATTCAACAGTTTTCATTGAAGGTAAACATTATGATTAGTTTTCTTAAGCATAAGCATAAACGTTTTCTTAATAAACAGATTATGTTATTATTTAAAACCGAAAAAAGTTTTCCCACTAATTACTGATTTAGAAATTGAATGAGACTTACATTTGTTAGCAAGACTTTTGATTGTTATTTAAAAGTTTTAGTTAATCTATGATTATAATTTATGTATTCACAATATAATTATAATTAGAAGAATAATAATTGAATAAATGAATTATGTATACACATACTTAACAAGTATGAATAACCTATTTTACATGGTGACGTGAACATATTAAGAATTGTATGTCAAATCATACCCAAAAGTTACCTTTAACATTTTACCCAAAACTTCGCTGCAACTGCGCAGTTTGGCAATACTAGCATGCGCATACTGGTTTATCTAATCTCACCTATTTTATTTATTTACACTTCGTTACCTTATACAAAACATACATTACAAAAACAGGTTACATAAGTTAGGCAACGGGCGGCCTTATCGCTTCAAGCGATTTCTACCAGGAAACCCTAGTATAGTATAGTAAAGTACAAGAAATGCGTAAATCATTAACAAAAAAGAACATAAAATAACATTTAACACTAACTATAACCAAACGAAAGTGAAAAAAAAAATATAATAACATAAACAAAAATGTAAAAGCTATTCCAATAGTTAATGAGTCACAATGAATATATAAATATAAGTAGCTAATTACGAGGCAGAAGGTAAATGATCAATAGCAAGATTTTTAAATAAATTAAAAGATTGAGCTCATTTAATATCAAGAGGTAAGGAGTTTCAAAGCAGGCTTTTCCATGCTTCTATAATTTTACCAAATATATTACAATTTTTTTTTTTTTAAGACAATTCACACCAATTGACCTAGTCCCATGCTAAGCTGGTGAAGTTTGTGTTATGGGTACTAGGCAACGGCATATTTTATATAGATAGACATATAAATACATATTTAAACACCCAAGACCTAAGCACAACACCAAATGCTCATCACATCGATGTTCGTCTCAGCCGGGGATCGAACCCGGGACCCATGGATTCGCAGTCAGGGGTACTAACCACTAGACCAATGAGTCGTCTTATCAATTACAATCAACTTAAATCTACAAAATATATACCAGGGAAGTTTCGCATATAAACTGTTTATTTTAGGAACCATAAATATTTATGATTTCAAACGTTACAGCTTACAAAATACGAGATAATTCGGAAGTAATTCTTTCGACTAGAGGCGAATGGCGGACTGCCAGAACAGAATTAAATTTTAATAAAACTTTAATTATTTACGAAAATGACAAAGATGAAAATATAATTCGAAAAGACTTGGCGTTTGACGTTAAAATATTATCAAGAAGACGGAGTAATTTACGACAATACCCTCTCACAATGGCGAATGTTATCACCGATAGTAATAATACTAAACAGCATTTGGATGACAGGCTGTAAGTAAAAAAAACGTATGATTATTTATTATATATCTCTGTTCTGCATTACATATAGTCCCATAATATGTTATTTGATTTCGAGCAACAAAGCCCTTTATTTCTCCTCCAACTGACGGAGGCTAAACAACGCCGGGAGTAATATGAGTTCAATTTGTTTGGTTAACAAACCCCCATCGGGTTTGAACACCATTCTCTATTACGAAGAACCATTAATTACTACTAACTGGAAGACTAAATGGAAGTGGTCTTAATATTAAACTAAATCTATTATTATATAAATTATTAGTTAAATTTAGTTTCTTTTTTCTTCCCTCCGTATAACGAATACCCACTATAACGAAAAAGAATGCTCGGTCCCTTGAAATTCATTATAAAAAGTTTACACTGTAAATCTAAATACTTTCGTCCCTTTGGTAGAGTAGCTATAAACATAACATATAAAGCTGGTAACTTTTCCTCGCACGTTATGATACTAATTCGTTAAGCGAGGAAGTTGCCAACCTCTGAGGTGTCCCCTAATTACCACCAGGCGCTAATTAAATATTTAATTAAGCCTCTACACTTGAAACCTACGGCCCAAGAATCTCTACTCCGAAAAGAACGAATATACATATTTTTTAATATAGGATACGTTTTCAAAAAGTTTGGCTATGTATTTACATATTTGATTATTTTATTTATTTATTTATACTTTTTTACCTTATACAAAAACATACAATTTTTTTTAAAAAGCAGTTTAAATAAGTTATAAGGCAACGGGCGGCCTTATCGCTAACAAGAATTTTCTTCCAGGCAACCCTAATGTGGAACAATAAAAATAATAAAGTAAAATATAAATAAAAAAATATATTTATGTTACTTATAAAATACATCTACATATAGTAGCTTCTTTCATGACCCTTGTCTCGTCGAATGCTTTCGTTAAAATATATTTATTAATTTGGCAGATACTTACACCAAGATTCTATAACAAAAATGAGTTACATGGTTGTCAAGATTTGCTTTGAGATGCTGAATGCAACTGAACGCCTGATTTTCACACCCACCTGGGGATACAAGGATAAGAATGGAAACTGGCAAGGAATAGTGGATCACCTCCTTAAAAAGGAAGCAGATCTCGGTAACTTCTACTACTGATTTTATATAACGGATTTATACAACGAACAATATACACCAATCGAATTACTACGCGTTTTTGATCAAATGTTTGAGCTGTGTTAGCGCCGATAGATTTTCATATTAATGCATATGTCGTAGCCAACTAGCTGAATTAGCCGTTCAAATAGTCTAGTCTATTTACTAAACATCGCCGTTCAACTAGCGGCCTGAATGATGTTCTGCCATTAGATCAAACAGCTAGACTTGAATCAATGACGTTTCATTACTTGCCTATCCTGTTTGTATATTTCCTATTGTATGGAATTGTGTAGTGATCCTAAGAATAAGCGTAAGAACACTAAAATTACATACTAAATAAAGGATTTCTTATGTCAGATATTTCACATTTTTTATTTTTGTCACATGATCATACGAATGACCTAAGCATTAGCCAGCCAGTTTATTAAGGGTCTGCTTCAATGTATGGATAAAGTACCAAATAGCTATGCAACACATAAATTATTTGGAAGATAAATTGTGCTATTTGACACTTCATCGGACTCATAACTTATGATGACTTTATGTGCCGAATAGCGCTATCTGACAGTCGTGAAACGCAACAATAGTGTTTATCCTACCAATAAGTAATAAATAGCTAATTTGGAACTTATGTAGAACTTATCCGTACATTGTGAAACAGGCCCTAAATATTGTAAGAAATGCTACGGCTGAAAATAATTCAGGCCGCTAGTTAAACGGCGCTGTTTAGTAAAGATCCTAGGCTATTAATTGAACGGCTAATTAAGCTAGTTGGCTGCGACACATACATATAAGCCGGTATAAAAATTAACGGCGTGGTTTAGGCACCAAATTGCAATAAAGAAAAATTAATATAAATCACATCCAAAAATCGGAGGTCACAATTCTTGCAAGAAAAATACCAGTCTTTGTAGGCCATTTTTTATAAAACACACTTAGTTTGTGTGTACGACACTAGTTGACTCTAAAATCTAAGGTCGTTACAGTGCGAACGTCAAGTCGAATTGTATTTTTGCAGGTACATTAACAATATTCACCCAAGAGCGTATGAAAGTGGTTGACTACATCGCTATGGTGGGCTCAACGGCAGTTCGCTTTGTGTTTCGTGAACCTCCTCTATCATTACTTCAGAATATCTTCACTCTTCCTTTCACGGGTGCTGTGTGGATGGCAATTGTAGTATGTGTGCTGAGCTGTGCACTCTTCTTATATATAGCCTCGAAATGGGAGGCTACTGTGGCTATGGTAAGTTACTTCCTTTTACCAACACTTTTACTTAATTATAATGGATTAAACACAAACAGTAGGTACTTATCCGGAACTGGATATATTCCGTAGAGTGCTGGTCAATTCTAATGAAAGCATTGATAAGTGCCTATCTCGTTCTCTCTTGTATATATTTTTATTGAATTTCTATATTTTTTATTTTTTATAAAAAAGAGTTTGTAATATATACCGTAGATATATGTAGTATTATAGATTATGTGGATGTAAACTTGAATAAATAAATAAAATAAATGTACATGTTCGACTCTGCTTCTCAGGGCAGAGTCAAAAAAGTTTTCCTTGAGAAGCGACTGTCGAACTTGTTCATAGATTGGATTTTTTCTACAATGCCTAAGTAATCTTAGGTATACTCGTCAGTATATATATATATATATATATATATATATATATATATGTATATATAGGGATATTTTATCACCATCAATTTGGTCTTGCTAGCGTTGATTACCAAGTTAGCATCATGGCACCATTTAATTAAAGCATCAAAGTCATCTTGCAACAGGGAAAGGGCATGTTGCAGTTTTTTGCCAAATAACAAGGCAAGTATCCTCTGGAAAATGGTAGCAGGAGCAGGACTTTATACTCTACTATGTCCTAGTGTGTGTTAGAATATAAATATTGTATTAAACAAATTAACCATATCTATAAGCATGTTATGACAATTAAAATTAACGTTGCGATAATTACAGCACCCAATGCAGTTAAATGGATCCTGGGCTGATGTTCTTATATTAATCATTGGCGCTGTACTGCAGCAAGGATGTACCCTTGAACCGAGATACGCTGCAGGTAAGTAAACGTATGTAATGCTTAAGAGTAACGACTTATCACGTTCATTAAACGATGGCTTCTGGCTTGTAGATCGTTTAAAAACAGTTTTACCTTTAGGGTAATGCAAAACTATAAAAACAAGCAAAATTAATACTTAATGATTTGAAACCTTAATGGTTTGGCCTTAAGAAGGGCAGGTTAGAAGACACCGCTCACCGCTGGTGTACTGTAAGATGTACCATCAAATAGAACAATAACGTCTATAGCTGCAAGTACTGCGTACCTGGAAAACAGACGCACATGCAATTAAAAACGTAGCTATGTGCAAACGTTTACTTTCGAAAACCTTTTATTTAGATCTAAACATTACTTTAGGTAATCAATTCTTGTCATAATAAATGATCATTCTACTATCAACTTTCTCTTAAAACGTAATATGTATCCCTAAAAAGATAATTCTACAATAAAGACCATTTGATTACCCGCCCAAGTTACAAAGAAACAAATGGTCTTGTTCCAGGCCGTTGTGTCACATTACTTTTATTCGTCGCATTAACAATTCTCTACTCAGCATACTGTGCCAATATAGTTGTGCTACTACGAGCTCCAAGTTCATCTGTTAGGAGTCTACCAGATCTTCTAAGCTCACCGTTGAAGCTGGGAGCAAGTGACTTTGAATACAATCGTTATTTCTTTAAGGTATGCGTTATTTTATGTCCGTTTTAATAAAGGAAGTTCTGATGGCGTGTTGGAAATAGTCCACGTTTCATCATTTTAAATTGATATATAATAAAATATATAGCTTTTTATGTTATGGTAGGAAAAAAAACACCATGAAACGATTTTTTATAAGAAGGTTCTAAAACCCTCATTAATACAAAATATATCAGTCTAATTCTACTACTTAACTAAAATAGTCATCTATCTATTCAAAGCCGGCAGTGAGATAAATGTTTCATTTGTAATTTCTTAAAGACGTAAAAAATCTGAGCTGGGACACAGGCATATTTTACTTAAAATCCCCAAATCGAACAATTATTTAATTATAATATAAGCAATACTTGTACGACGAAAGAATTTTTTTTTAATTAGGCTGATTTAATTTTTAAGTTTCAGGTAAGCAATTACTATAAACTGCGTTCTAGGCCAAGTTATAAGGGCAATATATTAAAGACATAATATCCATTATTGGAACCCAATGAATAGATATGATATTAATTTGAATAGATTTTAACACTTTTCTTTGAGAATTGATACGTAAGATAATAGGAAACATTCACAACAATTAAACAATTATAACAGACTTATTGATAAAAAGGTTTTCACGTTTTAAGACAAACATCATTTGAATAAACATGTAATACGTGACATCGTTAAAACTACGATTCTTCGTGAATCAAGATACTTAAAGATTATTTTCCTCATTATGAATTACTTTAAGTACAGAATACTTGTATAAAGAATATTGCACATTTCTCTATATTCATTCTTGTCTATATTGTCCACGTTATTATGCTAGCTAAGCCAGTCCTTTTTTCGCTAAAAACCAATGGTTTATTAACAAAAAAAAGTTCTTTTTCTCATAATCTCACCATCTATTATATTGGTACGACAGTTGTCAAATTTATACACGAGTCTTTTGAAGGTTAGGGCTAACTAAAAATCATATTAATTTAATAATAATATCACCAACCACGCAAACAGCCCATTTGATACATATTTATTTTGCTACATTATTACTTTTAATATTCGTAAATTGTGTGGTATTTATTGCATTCCAAAATGTTAAAGTACGATTGTTTAAGTTTAAATTTGACTTGTAATTAAATTATCAATGATAATTCTTTCGTCAATTTTTAATAATACAAACGTATATGTTGACCAAAAGCAATACCAATAACCATTGTTTCACAGAAACTGAACGATCCTATCAGAAAAGCAATCTACGACAAGAAAATCGCACCCAAGGGAAGGAAACCAAACTTTTACAGCATGAAAGATGGTGTAGAAAGAATACGGAAGGTTGGAAAATAATATTGATTAAAAATAGCCTTTATTAATTTCTGTTTAGAATTTATTGTGCCTGGTTATTTTGATTATTATTATAAAAGAGTTTTATCTCTTTTCGAATGTAATAAATAAAGTAGTCATTTTTAGTAAAAGTAATCAATCACTATTGCTTAAAGCGTAAATAATGTTTATATTATAAATGAAAATGTTTTTCTTCAATAGAGGTGACCACGAAACATCTGTCCTTTTGTGTCCTGGACATTGGACGTAGGCATATTGCAATTGTTAATATTTTTCTGCAATGGGGAAGTTATTTTAGTCTTTACATTTCTTGAGCGCCTTATTTCTCTACTTTCCTACTACTTACGTGACCGTATAAAGAAAATTAGCTTTCTCTATTTTCAGGGCCTTTTTGCATTCCACATGGAGCTGAATCCTGGATATAGATTAATTCAAGAAACATATAAAGAAGACGAGAAATGTGATCTTGTTGAAATCGATTATATTAATGAAATCGATCCTTGGGTTCCCGGCCAGAAGCGATCGCCATACAAGGACTTGTTTAAAATCAAGTAAGTTTGAAAAAACTATTTTATCGGTAATTCATTGATATAACTCGACGTTACAACTGATCAGCTAGAGATTAACTATGGGATTACCCTTAAGCCAACACTGCAGCGTGCGACTCTAATTCCCGAGGTCGTAGGTTCGAGCAGAGTTCGAGTTCAGCCGGGGGGCTGTGCACCAATGGACTTTCTTTCTATGATAAACGGTGAAGAAACCATCGTGAAGAAACCGGCTTGCATTAAACCCAAAAATTCGATGGCGTGTGACAGGCACAGGAGCCTGATCATTTTGTTGCCTTTTAGATTGACAAATGATCATGAAACAGATATAAGCCTGAATTACATTTAGCTTCGTATGTCTTCAATAATTCTCCTGAGTGAGAAACAAAAAAAGATATAATTGTTTCGAAATTAATTATGCATATTACTTTCTCTAGAAAATTATTTATAATATATTTGCATAGTTTCGCAATTCTTACTCTTTCCCCACTGCAATTTTTTCCTTACTAGGTTTGCTTGGGTTAGAGATCGCTAGTTAGCCATTATTCCAACCGGAGCCCTTCAGATTATTCTGGTTTCTTGAAGGCTTTGTACTTCAGTAAGGCAATATAATTTCGCGCTTTGGCCGAAATAACACAGATGATACCTATTAACACCAAAGCCAACTCGTTTTCTATAAAATAAAGTACAACTCTTTAGCTTCATCAAAATCCGCGAGACCGGTGTACAAGCCGCCATACACCATCGCCTGCATGTTGGAAAGCCACATTGTTCGGGGACCATTTCCGCATTTAGCAGCGTCGGCTTCAGTGACATGTATCCAGCTATTATCACCACACTATACGGAATGTTACTGGCACCAGCTGTGCTCGTGCTGGAAATAATGTATAAGAGACTGTAAGTATTTCTTATATTTTAATGCCCCATGCTTTCTACGAGTTCGTCATCTACTAACAGTTTTACTGAACCTAATACCAATGATAGGCAGTAGAGCTTTACTGAACTATTCCCCAACCAATTCGACTTAGGGTCCTTCAAAAAAATAACGTACTTATAAATTCTTAAAAGACCGGTAATTTTTTTTAGCGTAAAACCGGCTAGCTAAAAATCATATGATTGACATGCATGAATTAAATATATATATAATTCCTAATCGTATATGCCTAATGCGTAAAAAATTGTTTAAGTTCACTTGGCTATTTTATAACCCATAATTTACTTTGTTTTTCAGAATGGACGCTAGAAATCGAAGGGTAATAAAGCAAAAATAGTTATATTCATTAAATATAAAAAGCGTGTTTAAGGTAAAATATTATACAAAACTATATTTTACCAACCTTTATCCAACTAATGTTGGTTTTCAGAAATAAATTATAGGCTATTAATTTAATGTTTACAGAACAATTTCGTGAGTTTCGTGCTGTTTTATTATTCTGTAATTTCAATTAACCTATGTGTATAACAAAATTTAGTATTGGGTAATAATAAATACGTTTTGAATAATGAAGTTTAATTTTAAATCATTTCTCAGACCTTGATGCATTACTCTCAATGCATTTATATAAACATAATTCTTCTTAAAACATAGAACAAATCAAATTTTACAGCATGAATCATGGTATAAAAAACAACAGAACGTTGGAAAATAATATAGATTAGAAATAGGTTTTACTGTATCAGTTTGGACTCTATGGTCGTTCGTTTGGATTATTCTTGAGTTTATCACAAGAATAATTTTCGTAGGAAGAATTCAAAGAATTCAATCGGTAATAAAATAAATAGTAAAACTACGATGTTGCATTGTTTGTTTGTGCTATAGTATAATTAATTAATTTAATATGTTATTACAATCCTTCGCGAAGACTAAGAATGAAAGGTGATGATGACTTTTTACCATATAAATATAAAAGGGATTTATAGCATTTAACTCCATTATAACACATCCTTATATTCCATCGAGTAGTTAATTAATGAAACCTGTGCACACAGAACTTTAGTATAATTCGGTTTAATGAAGGACTTACGATATAATTAAGTTTGCTAACTTATACCTTATAGGTTAAATAGTCCGTACCGATCTTTTGGGTTCATTTCTATAAGCTTTGAAAGGCCATTATGATGAATAGGAGGCTTGTTATACCTTTTATATTATTACAAAATACTATTGTTTATGGCACGGATACAAATACAATTAAGATGATTCGAAGCTACGTTGCTAACGAGTGGACACCGACGATTGTACACAGTAATTTATGTTGGAAGAAAGGTAATACCTATTTAAAATTGTTTACTCATTTTAATAAATGTTCTATAATCCAATACCATCTATAATAAAAGTATTAGATTTTCTATCACTCTCTTGTCACTAAACAACAACATTAACATTTATTTTGTTTCCAAACAATTCACCCGTAAAATATTTTGCGTAGTCTTCAGAGAATAATGCAAATTTACAAAATATTATTTATTAATTCAATATTTATATGTAGTGGACTGTGGACGGTTCCTGGGTCATCGGAGTGCTTTAAATAATAGAGGATTTTAGTTTTACGCTATATTAACCACTCGTGTACAAGAATTGAATATAAGCGAAAGAACAAAATGTTAATAGCTATGTAACGAATGAATACAATGTAACAGTTGAAGAGAGTGCCTACGTCTATACTCTCGGGGCATAACTTCGATGATTTAGGAAATTGCAACCTTATAAAACTAAGAAAGCCTGAGTGAGCAAAATATACAGCCTGGACTCGTACAGAGACTTTATATTAAAGAAGGTAGAGGCGTAGTAATGCCTTGCATAATTATTTCGCGCGCTTTGTATGTATGCGTAATTTAAATAAAAACTGTGTTATCTAAAAATCTATATATATCTCTCTACAGCAGCACAAATTCGTTTACATAAAGAGCTTGGTAAGGTGGGTTGTCGAGTTTCTTCAACAATGGAACCGCGTAGTACATCTCAAGACCATAATTTGCTGTTCTTAAATGATTTAAACTGTCCCGATGCAGAACAGTCGTTTAAAGTAAGATGAACTTTCATGTATTCAAATACTTATAAACAAATAGCAAATACATTTTGTATATGTATAAAAAAATACGCAGACAAATTAGAAGATAAATAATAAGTGTCCGAGTTGTTGTCAGTAGGTTTATTCCTTTAATAATAACAATAAAAATGATTGCCTCCCCACCATCCGCCACCTATAGAGACGCCTTTTGAAGGGTTGTGAAAGTTCAGAGACTCAGTCACTTTAGTACAAATACCGCATTTAAAATGGAGAGTGTTCAGAGCAGTTGCTCGGACTAATACCTGCAGCTGAGATTCATCATCGCACTTCAAGGCAGAATACAAAATACTATCCGTATCACCTCGACGTCCGTCGTTCCGCAACTGAGCGTTTCGCAACTTTTGCCGCGCACCACCAATATTTTGAACCAACTGCCCGCTAAGTATTTCCGAACCAATTCGACCCTAGAACCGAAGAAGGGTCCTAAGTCCTTCAAGAAAAAAGAGTGCCATTTCTGAAAAGGCCAGCAACGCATTTGCGAGGCTCCTGGCAATGTGAGTGACTATGGGCGGAGATATCACTTAACATCAGGTGAGCCTCCTGCTCTTTTGCCTCCTGTTACATGAAAATATAAAAAATCTCACTATTTACATATAGATAACAAGTCTTCTGAGATTTCCGTACCGGTGGTTGGTCCTTTATGATGACATGCATAATCGAACAAACGAAAATGGAGAATCGATCAAGAAGCGTCTTCTCGATTTGCCGCTGCTAGCTGATAGTGACTTTGTATTGGCCGAAAGAAAAGGAAATATATTTTTGCTTACTGAACGTAAGTATTTGTTTATTATACCTGTGAAAAACATTTCATAAAAATGAAGGTACTTACAATTTCTTTTTAAATAACCTACTTGCAAAAAATATTAAGTAACTTTAAAAAAATATAAAAAAAATCAATGGCTATAACCTTTTTAAATGTGTGCCTCAGATTTCTGTATCTGTTTCATGATAATTTGTTAATCTAATAGGCAAATAGGTGATCAGCCTTCTGTGCCTGATGCACGGCCTCGACTTTTTGGGTCTAAGGCAAGCCGGTTTCCTCACGATGTGTTCCTTCACCGTTCGAACGAATGTTAAATGCGCACATAGTAAGAAAGTCCATTGGTGCACAGCCGGGGATTGAACCTACGACCTCAGGGATGAGAGTTGCACGCTGAAGCCACACTAGGCCAACACTGCTCACTTTTTTATTGAGTAACTTTAGCCAAGCATTTATTATATGGATTCAAAACAGTGCACAAGCCATCGCCGAATGGATCTACGTACTCACATCCTCGTGGTATTTATGACGGCAGCCTGCAGGACTCAAGACCTCGAAGAGAGTTGTATTGGAGAAGAAAGGATATAATGGGTCATCCTTTGACGATGTCAAATGTAATACAGGAGAGCAACACTACTATTTATCATTTGCCAAGAGAGGATAGATTGTAAGTTTTAATCATTTTGACGGCAAATTTGTAATCCTCTTAAATATATAAGAAAACAGTAAAATACCTTTTTTGGTTGTAAAAAATTTGATAAACAATACCCTACAAAATTAATATGTGATTATTTTATGACGGCAAATATTTCTAGTGAGCAGTGCTGGCCTAATGGCTTCAGCGTGCGACTCTCATCCCTGAGGTTGTAGGTTCGATCCCCGGCTGTGCAACAATGGAGCTTCTATGTCTGCATTTAAAATTCGCTCGAACGGTGAAGGAATCGTGAGGAAACCGGCTTGCCTTAGACCCAAAAAGTCGACGCCTGTGTTAGGCACAGGAGGCTGATCACCTACTTGCCTATTAGATTTACAAATTATCATTAAACAGATACAGAAATCTGAGGCCCAGACTTAAAAAAATGTTGTAGCGCCACTCATTTATTTTAGTTAAATCCTTCTACTATTAAGTACGAGTTTATTTTTAATATTTAATCACTTTCAATATCACAAACATTCGCCAGTCTATTTTTATCTCTCTCTATAATAAGATAATAAGAAAAAGTCTCGTTCTAAAATAACTCGGGATATCAAAAACTTTACCACTCATTGCTATTCCTATTGTAACACTTTTTAGTTAATATTTATTCTTTAGGCTCCTTCAATATGACCCTTTTGCAAAAATATGTTGGAGCCACGTTCGAATGGCATTTGAAATGTTAAATGCGACACCTCGCTACATCTTCAGCTACAGATGGGGTTATATCAAAGACGGGCAATGGTCAGGAATGATCAATGATCTTCGGATTGGCAGAGCTGATTTAGGTACATGTCAAACTCATTATCCAAATAACTTTATTTATACTGGTAAACAAGTACACTTATGAACGTCAACAGAAAAGATGTTAAATTGATTCTAAATAGTCTAAATAGTTCGCAAGTCAAGGGCGTAGAACGGGCAAGAAGAAATAGCAAGAAACTCTCCGCCACTCTTTTTAATCGCTAAGTTATGAGTCATACAAATTGTTTGAACTGGAGCAAATCAATCCCAAGTATTAGGATCATTTAAATATTCGTCAAATTTATAAAAAAGCTTTATTGATTAATTTACCTTTAACTTTGTCTGAACTTAATCATTATTATTATCCTTAAATATTTTGTTTCATTTCAAACTTTGGTTTATAAAAGTAATACTACCAAGTTTCCGGGGTCTCTCAGAAACCTGTCAACCGGAAATGAACTAAAACTGATAGTAAGGACTTAGTCTAAAGTTTCTTGAATTAAGATTGCTCTAACTTGAAGTCACATCGGCCAAAGAGCGAAGCAAATGGCGACACTTTGTACCATATTCTTGCAATAAATTATTATTATAGATTAGACTAAAGAAAGCGTACTTCACTGTTATAAACATTATTATTATATTGGTTTTTCTGCAGGTACCAATTGCGTCGCTAACTCAAAACGCTTGGAAGTCGTAGTTTTCACAGATTCAATTGCGCAGTTTAAAGTGAAATTTATATTCCGTCAGCCCCCACTCTCATATCTAGCTAATGTCTTCGCCTTGCCGTTTTCGATGACGGTTTGGGTGGCTATAGCACTTTCCACGGTACTGGCCACTGTTTCTGTATACTTCGCTAGTAAATGGGAGGTGAAGAGGATCGGTTTGGTATGTTTTTACTTCAGAAAATCACATTACTGTGAACGTACTTAAAAGTTTCGAACAAGGTTATTTACTTGAAACTCCTTCGAGCTAAAAGGCTCTAGGATAATTATGAGAAAGTTGTCTATGTAAATGCTACATCGTCAAATCTATTCCAATATTTTAAAGCTAAAAAACTTATTTGGTTGAATACGGCAATCTCTGAAACTACTGGTTCGAATTGAAAAATATATATTTTTTTGGTCCATTTATCAAGGAAACTTTAGGCTATATAATATATTTAAAAAAGAAGCCAAGTACATATAAATTAAAAAAAAAACAACCTTACTTTATAATACTAAATATACGTACATATATGTTATGGTATTTTTTTTTCAATGGAAGCCCAAACAGTGTAATCTAGGCCTTGTCATTTACCTACAAGTGTAAGCCCTAGCAAATCTATGGTCCAGTGAATAGACCACCTCGCCCTTACAACTTAATTACTAACATTGATGAAAATATTGATATATTTGACAACAATTTTCCTACTTACCGTAACTTTGCGTATCATTTAATGAGGTGATGTCATATTTTCATTTACATTATTTGAAAACCGTTGAAGAACACAAATATTCAACACAAGTTGTTTACATAGTTTACATGAAGTTAAAAATGAGAATTTGTAATTAATTTTTTAAGAGGCTTGAAAACTTTTTTAGTGGACAACATATATTTTATTACTTACAGAATTCAAGTCAACTTGATGGCAGTGTGGGTGACGCCTTACTCTTAACGATGAGTGCTTTAAGCCAACAAGGATGCTCAAAGGAACCAAAAGGCTTATCAGGTATACTTACTGGGCATCTTGGTAACATTTCATTAAGTAAAGCCATGAAAAGTTTAGATTTAATATTTTTGAGGTGAAACTTCTTTAGGCGCATGAGGGTAAAATTTTTACGTATACGTCACGAAGATTGAGAGAGAGTAGGAAGGATGAATTACCTTATAGAAATTCTATTTTTAAAATTAAAATTTCGTAAAGAGAATTACGAAATATTAGTATTTTATATTTTATGCAAAATAATTTATTCAAATCTCAAATGACGAATTGTAAATTAAAATGCCACGAGTTTTTATTATCGAAGAAATAAATTAAATTTAGTATTTGTATTAATTTTCGACACTTTTACTTAATATTTTAATGACAATTAAATTCATTAAATTCCTAACATATCTTCCTTTTTCCCTCCTCTAAGCTCTAAGTCTCGGAAGTCTAAAGTTTTGTATAAATATGGACAAGACTTAACATCCACGTTGCGGTGCTCCGCCACTACACCCGCGTTCACAACGATAAATAAAAATATTTTTATTTGGACAAGTAGTTCTCGAGTTAGAAAGTGTTCAAACAAAAAACAAACTCTTCTACTTTGTAATTAAGTTTTATTTTTATTTAAAAAACATTTTGTATGTGTTGACTTTATATTTTCAGGTCGCATAATGCTGTGGGTAATTTTCGTCGCCCTCATGGCTTTATACGCTGCGTATTGCGCAAACATCGTGGTACTATTACAGGCACCTTCCACAGGCATTAGAACTTTGGAACAGCTATCAGAGTCCGGCATAACTCTTGGTGCTATCGACACAGACTACAACCGATTTGTCTTTAGAGTAAGCACTTTTCTTTACGTGATCATTACGTTTTTTTTTAATATACAGGGACCCCTACATCCTAGCCTATCAGACAGTTGTGACCGTGTGGCTAAGCAGCAGGGGAGTGTCGAGATCTCCCCTTTCTTAAAAAGGGGCATTATTATCTTAAAGGGTTGGCGTCTCCCGCCGGGCCCGGGCGGAACTACTCCGGAAATATTGTCATAATATTTATGGGCGAGTCGATCATTACGTTAAAAAAATTGAACTCATTAAGGAAACATATTTTTTTTAATTCGGTCTGCCAGATTGAGAAAAGGCTTTATGTCAGTTACTGTAAGAAATTGTAAGTCTTTTTGTAAATATTTTAATCTACTACTGTTAAACGTTGCGTTATTTTTTTCTGTGTATGTTTTGTTTTCTATGTGATGTAAATGTAAAAACTTGCTTGCTCGCTTTGGAGTAATCTGTGATGGTAGCTGGTCAAAAAATATATTTTAAGAACTCTAAATTTCATATTATAATTTAATACTTTTTCGATTTAATTTCAGATGTTCAACGATTCTGTAAGAGCAGCCTTTTTAAGAAAAATAGAGCCTCCAAAAGGCAAACCACATTACTATGACCTATATGAAGGCGTTGCGAAAATAAGACAAGTAATTATATTCACTAGTATTCTTTTTTATTTTTTAACACTAGTATGTATGAGCAAGTATGAACAGGCTTTATAATTATTTAATAAAGTAGCCGCATACTAGGAAATTGTGATTGACTCCCGATAAAACAATGATTGTTCGCACTGCAATTTTTTTGCCTTAAAAAAATCATAGCTTTAATGATTGCTTGATAAGCATACCGTTTTACATTTTATTCCAAAAGAATATGATATGATTTTGATATGATTTTAGATGCTGAAGTGGCGTCCTTAATTTTTTTCAGGGTTTCTTCGCCTTCCACTCCACAGTAGATTCAATCTACAGACGAGCTGAGGAAACATTTCTTGAGATGGAGAAATGTGACCTTAAGGAAGTTGACTTTATGAATGCACGATATCCTTTGGTCCCAATATACAAACATTCACCATATTTGGAACTGCTTAGAGTAGCGTTAGTTATTCATTCAATTTATTTTTGCATACTATTCTTAATGGGCGAGATAGCCCCCAGATTTTGTCGATAATTTCTTTAAGGAACTCTCACCCGGCTGCGACAAGATATTCACAATTGTTCCATGTGCCTCGTAAGAACACGAAATATCTGCGTAATTAGCTAATGTTTCGGGTTTTAGCTAACATAAATTTCGAAGATGTTTACATTTTCCTCCTTAACAAAGATGTGAAAATATTTTAAGAAGTCTTCGAAGTCTTTGACTTTATTTAGCTTTAGTAATCATTTAGGGGTTTCTTTAAAATATTAAGTTGTCGTTTACTCAATTTCAATTTTCAGTTTTGCTTTTTTTCTATTATTGTTCTTTCTTATGTTACATATATTTTCTTTATCAATGTAATCTGTTTTGGCTTTGTATATTGTCTATGTGTTTTCTTTTTTAATATGGTTATGGATAGCTGTAAGATTACTTATAAATTAATTTGTTGTTTAACATTGTTTGTTAATTTAAGGAAAGTTGGGTTCGTAGAAACAATAATAAATATTTAAGTTAAAGGTACAAACAGGTCCACTTCCTAAAACAAAATATGTACAATTTCATCCCAAAACCTAACAAACAATTTAATTTTAACTGTGCTAAAAAAAACGCGCGCGCGAAGAAGTCGGTAACTATTTTTAAGAGAAGTAAAACTCATACAGAACAAACCTCAACAAAAAGTGTTCATCAGATACAGTGTAAATATAACCTTTACAATCTTCCATACTTTTTTTCAGTTTGAAACGCATCCGTGAATCTGGGATTCAGTCTGCACTCCATGGCCGCATAATTATTCCAAAGCCGAAGTGTACCAATAGAATAACAGCGTTTTCGAGTGTTGGTCTCCTAAATATGCGACCAGTATTATATTTTATTTTGTATGGTATCATAGTGTCAGTTTTTATACTCTTCCTTGAAATAATTGTGAATAAAATTATAAAAAAATAATAATGGAATCGTTGTTACAAAATAAGTTATTATATTTCATATTAGTTACAGCACTTTTGTTTTCTAATAATAAAAAAATTAAGTCAAAACACGTGGTAACTTGCTGCGCTTGTGTACAATTTCCTTCTGACCTCGCAATGTAGTAGTTTTGCGCGGAGAATCGGCTTTTCTTTGCCTCGAATTTCTTTTTCCGGTTTTAGGACTAGACGGCATTTTATTTATAAAAGGTACATCTTTAGAAGTTTTGGATCCATACTTCGGTCCGTGGTAACTTTTTGTTTGAATTTTGGAAATAAATGGTGGTGGAGCATTCTTTCTCTTGGTTTTTAATAACTTATCACTGTTTATAATATCTGGCTGGACGGCAGTTGTTTTGTTTGCAGAATGTTTAGTGGTTTCCGTTGGCTTACCTTCGGCGTTTAATATGCCGCCGGAAAGATTTGCAACCATGACACGAAGTTCAGTTAATGTATGACCTTGAAAATTAACATCATCTTGTAGTTTATCCAATTTCTTTTCAAAATGCTTGAATGACGACACAATTCTTTGAAGAGTGTCCATTGGACGTGATCTTTGAAGTGACATGATATCCTACATTATTTTTTTAACATTTAATTTAAACTATAATATGGTAATCTATCTGCAAAATATTCACATTTTATATTGTTAGCAAATTGTAAAAAATTGACGTACCTACTTTTTACTTTTAATTTTTCATATTCAAACTTAATGGTTATTATAAGAACCTACACCTTAAATTTGATTTGTTAGAATGTGTTTTTCTGGTATATTCACAGTGTACATTAAGCAAGTATTATCAGGAACGCATGACACGGTACTTTTAATCAAATCTTATACTAAATAACTAAACACTAAAATTGTCTACAAAACTAAACAAATGTAAATTTATAATAATTTCATATAAACCTTATTTAAACTAATTACATTCCAAGGTGTTTTAAACATTTATAATAATTTATGACAATAAGGAATCATTTTTGTAATGAAAGGTTTTCAGTTAGTGAGTAATTCTGGCAGGAGATTATCTTTTAATATCTGTTTTTAATTTTTATAAAAGTATTCAATGACAATTTACTAGACATTAAAGAATCAAGTAAGCAAGTGTCAACGCCAGTCGTAGTTCGTAATCGTTCCGTCACTGTCAGTTAACAGCGAACAATATGGGTGATGCGGTAGTTGCTGGTGTAGAAAATATAAATCTAAAGGAAAAGGCAGGAATTTAATATATTTTAATGTATTTAGAGTGATAAATGTACTACACAAAAGTTTGAATTGCGATGCTAAAGTTGGTCAATATACGTAAGGCTTGCGTGGTTCGCTTCAAAGAGAGCTACGCCACATGGGTCTGTAATCCTATAAACTCCAAAAATTAAAGAAAGTTGAACGAAATGTTGAGAGAAAATATATTAATTACCCACAACGTACTACTACCTAACACAATTATGTATTTAAATATATATTATTTCTTATTTAAACTTTTATTTTCAAGATATGATGACGACATGACTCGTCATCTGAGAGAAATAACCAATAACATGCAATAATGTATCGCTGCGATATTTCGGCCCTTGCCATGAAAATATTTGAAATAATTAAGATAATTTGATCTTATAGCTGTTATTTTTATGCCCAATAAAATATGAAAAAAGCATCCTTTTTTTTAGTCTAAAGCAAAAGCCATGAAAGAAAAGAAAAAGAAAGAAGAAACACCAGGCGGAGTTTCTGAAATGAATCCATGGCCAGAGTACATACAGAAGAGGTTAGATCTGTGGGACAAATTTAAAGCTGAATATGAACAGGATCTTGCTTCAAAGCCGGATATGAGTGTTGTGGTTACTCTACCTGATGGTAAAACTGTGGAAGCAAAGGCTTGGAAGACAACACCTTATGATGTAGCTAAAGGGATCAGGTAAGTGTTTTATCATTTAGAGAATGTAAGTAGATCAGAATAGCATAATGTTTTCTTTAATTTATAAATTTAGATTTATTATTTAGTTGTGTTGATAGTGGATTAAACAAAAAAAGAACTGAATCAGTTTTATAAACTTCAATAACAATAAATTAAAAAGCATTCTTTAAATTCTTTATTCTAAGAAATAATCATTGCTAACATATTCCTATTATTATTTATATTCTTACTTCACTCTAAATCTTTATCTAAGCTTCATTAGAATGCTGTTGTTGTGGCTAAGATAAAAGTGTGCACTATTAAATTTGATATTCTATTAAAAATAACAATTTATTTTTCCATTATTTCAATGTAAACATGACCTATACAAATTGCATATGCATGTTATGTTATGCTTTTTATTTGCTATATAAGTTAATAGCAATTGATGAAATTGCTATTTTGCTTTACACAATAATATAGTAACCATTGGCAACTTACATAATTTTTCACCTTGTTTGCTCACAAAGCGAGTTTTGGAATAAATAGTAAGTATTTATGATATGCATCAGTGTCATTAACCAGAAAATTTATAAATATTCAATAAATTTGATTAAAATTTTAGTACTTCTAGGGCCTGCAGTGCACTTACAACCCTCATAATATTTCTGGTGTCCTTAAGTATTTGATAGCGTATTATTCATATTGATTTTATGTTTGTCACTTAATAAGATCTTGTTATTCATTTCAAAGTCAGATTCAGATTAAAAGCAGTGTAAAAATATATAAACTATCATATTGTAAATAATTAAAATTAAAACTGTATGTCAGGATATGTTTTAGGTGTTTCAACAATACAATAAAAATAATAATTTTAATAATAGCATTAATTTTTCAGCCAAGGACTAGCAGATTCTACAATAATAGCCAGAGTGAATGGTGTATTATGGGATTTAGATAGACCTCTAGAAGGTGACTGCAAACTGGAGCTCCTTAGATGGGACAACACTGATGCTCAGGCTGTCTTTTGGCATTCATCAGCACATATGCTTGGTGAAGCCATGGAAAGGGTATGTATAATAACTATAACATATAGCTAGAGAATCCTTGCTTCTCCTGTCTGTAACAATAATATTTTACATTTTAATGTATTGTAAAAAGCAAATTTAAGTTTACAGTGAATAAATATTCCTTTTACAAAAAAAAACATAATTGTTGGGTTGAGTTCATTACAAGAATTTACAAATTATATATGTTCCTTTCTCTACCTTTCTCTTACTTTTTTAGATATATGGAGGTTGCCTATGCTATGGGCCACCAATTGAAGAAGGATTTTATTATGATATGTTCTATCCAGAGAAAGGGGTAAGTTTTTAACTGAAAACAATGTATGCACTAGAATAGCATAGGATACTTATAGCATAAGGTATTATAAGTCTCACTCAAAACTCGTAAGTGTAAAGGTTAGTTTAATAACTTCAATGCAATAATGGTGATATAATCATTCATATATTTAGAAGAAAGAAAAAAACAATGTTATGCTTTTATTAACTCCTATTCCAATATAAATTTAACAGTTTTGATTTTTACTATTAAGTTATTTAGTTTTTATAAGAGAGTAATATTACCACATTTTATTATATTTCAGATATCCTCTACTGACTACCAATGTGTAGAAGGCCTCGTAAAAAAGATCGCGAAAGAAAAGCAGCCTTTTGAGCGATTAGAACTAACAAAGGATCAATTACTAGAGATGTTTGACTACAATCCTTTCAAAGTTAGAATTTTAAAAGAAAAAGTGAATACTCCAACAACCACTGTGTACAGATGTGGCCCACTTATTGATTTGTGCAGAGGACCTCATGTTCGACACACTGGAAAAGTTAAAGCCTTTAAAGTTACAAAGGTATGTATGATTGATCAATGAAGAACCGTAAGTCCCTCTTGCAGGACATACACATTTATTGCAAACCTTTCTTTATTATTTTTTGTTGGCCTACAGTACTTGACCCACATCATCAATTCTTTAACTAAAGTTAAAGTATTTTCCTATTGTGTTTGACAGTACAAGCAAACCTTTGATTACCTAGATAAATTTTCCTTGGAAATCACATTCTTAGTATTTTGCAATAAACAGCTGAGCAAATAAAGCTTGAATAAATGAAGCAAGAAAAACTTCCCGAGCTACTTGATGTTTTACTGTTTCACTGTTCTCAAATGCTTTTAAATTAAATTTTAAAATTTACTATGTAGGCGTATTATTTGTATTTTAATAGTGATACTGAACTTTTACAGAACTCAGCAACCTACTGGGAGGGTAAATCAGAGGCAGAATCACTTCAGCGAATGTATGGAGTTTCCTTCCCAGAGCCAAAACAGCTTAAGGAATGGGAAATTATACAGGAGGAAGCTGCTAAGAGGGATCACCGTAAAATTGGCAGGGTGAGCATTTTTTATAATTAATTACACAGTAAAAAAAGAACAAAGATTCTTCCCAAGACTGGTACGAGAAGCCATTGAAATCAAAAAACACCCCAATTTCAATAGAGAAGACGGCCTAAAATTGTCAAACACATGGGATCCAATAATATCCAAATTAAAATCTCAAGATAAACAATCCGCGAAAATAGAGGACACCGTAAGCCATTTCTGCCAAAACCATCCATCTTTTAGTCGATACCAACTCCGGGGAAATAAATACAGATAATGCAACTTTCTCTACAGCTGTGATACTTTTTGACATTAAACATGTCGGTTAAATTTAAACTTATAACTTCAATCCGGTTAAAAAGTGTTTTCTTTAAATGTGTAAAGGTTATGTCAATAAAAGACAATACTAATTACACAGTATTCATTGCCAAACTTTTACAATTAATACTGTTATCTTAAACTTACAATTACCTTAATGCCATAAGAAAAATCTTTAACATTTTTATATAAGTGGAACGTAATGAAACGATAAGCCTTATTCTAAACCTTTTAATTTTAATAAATAAAGAACTAAATAAAATTAGGATTCATTAGTATTTTTTTGCCAGACTTGATTGACTTTTCCAAGATTTTAATGTTAACAAGGTTTAGGTTGAAAGTTGTAATGTAATTGTATTTTTCAGGAACAAGAATTGTACTTCTTCCATGAGCTGTCTCCAGGCTCCTGTTTCTTCCAACCGCGTGGAGCTCACATTTATAACATTCTGGTTAACTTTATAAGAGAACAATATAGGTATTTTCTTATTTACATTGCATGATATTTACCCGTTCATAAAAATTAAATCTGTCTAATTGCATCTTTTAACTACTCTCTCTGTCAAATTATGTACACATATGTGATGTTAAATTTTATTGGGATGAAAAGAGTAGATCGTTTATGTAAATAAATAAAGCAAATAGTAAATATTTGGAAATTTTTAAATAAAAATTATTCTACAACCTTACATGATATTAGTATAATCAAATAAGGTTTTAAAATATATTTATGTGAAATTTGTTAAATAACATCTAATTAATACACACATAATTCCATTTGTGTTGTCATTGTTTTGTTCTGGCTCTCTACTCTGTGGCGAGTTATAAATAACGTCTTCTATATTATTTAAAATAAAGTCATTCTCAAAGTGAATACAGTCAAAATCTTATAGCGACATCGAAGGAACTACACATATTGGTCATAACAGCC